TCTCTCTAACACAAACACACACACACTCCTCAGTAACAGACGGCCTCTGACCCTTTTGTCTTCTCCCTGTAGGCGTGTTGTTGTGGGTTCCTCTCAGTCCAGGCCATCATCGCCTGGGAGGCTCTTCCCTGGCTCAGTGCTACAGCCAGCTGGGAGACTGCTCTCCTGACCTGGATCAGCCAGAACTATTGACTGCGTGCTTCAACACCACACAGACACTCATACACGGTCAGCTTGCACTCACAGGCAAAAAGCTAAAGACAAGAAAAAAGTTCATCATTGCGTATTTTGTTTCAGTCCTTTTTAACAAAGTTTTCTTTCTTAACTTTATTTTCATACTCAATTTATTCTCTAACCGCTTTGTACTGTGATACACAGCCACCTAGTGGTTTAACTGTGTACTTTTGGTTATTAAAAAGCAGCAAGACCTCTTTATCTTACATTTTATTACCTTTTTTAAGTAATGATAAAATTGAAATGGCAAAGCAACATTTTTGTTGCTAAAGTTGCGGAAGATTAAATTAAAATAGACTAAGTAAATTGTCATTGGAAACAACTGTGGAAGATTATTGGGAAGTTGGCATTCGGAGTTCTTTTCTGTTCTTTCAGATCGTCTGCTGAGTGCAGGACATGACATTAGCGATGGAGGACTCATTTCCTGCTTACTGGAGATGGCGTTTGCAGGAAACCGTGGAATCGACGTTGAGTTGTCATCACAAGGAACTGGAGGTTAGTAAGCTGATGCATCTCCTGGCTTGGTTTACCTGTAATTCACACATACAGGATACAAACTGTTGTAATCATAAAGTCTCATGCAGTGTTTTTGCTGCATCTGTGTCTGCACAGTCATGGAGCTGTTGTTCAGCGAGGAGCTGGGTTTGGTTCTGGAGGTTTCACAGCTCAATGTAGAGACGGTGTGTCGGAGATACAGTGACGCGGGCGTGCAGTGCCATCGCGTTGGCAGAACCTGTGGCTTCGGACCAGAGGCTGTGGTGAGACGTCAGCTTCTGCATGTATCTCAAGCATTTTCAGCATCTATGACTGTCGCGGTTTTCCATTTTCCCTCACTTTCGTTTCAGGTCAGTGTTCTTGTGGATGAACAGGAAGTACTGAGTGAGCCGCTGCCTAAACTCAGAGCATTATGGGAGGACACTAGTTTCCAGCTGGAGCGCCTCCAGGCCAGTGAAGTCTGTGTTAAAGAGGAAGAGGAAGGGCTATCTAAGAGGACACAGCCCTACTTCAAACTGACCTTTGACCCCTCAGAAATGCCCAGCATCAGCCAGCTCAGTAAGACCAAACAGTATTAGGAGGAGCAGGACTAATCGTTGTTATCATTATCAAGTAGTCCTACAATTATTCTTTGCATATTACATTGATTATTACATTACATTACATTACATACATTATTTAAATGTTAGAAATAATAACATAAACCCTTCACAATTGGCCAGATAATGTACCAGTTAATATCTGACCAGCATGAAAAAAGAAAGTATTCAGTGTTATGAACATTGTCATCTTTGAGTAGTTATAACCACTAACTGTTTAATATTGTTGTTTTAATCTCTCTGATGTCTGTGGTTTTTCCAGCTGCAGGGAAGCCTCGTGCAGCTGTGGTCAGGGAAGAAGGCAGTAACGGAGACAGAGAGATGTCTGTGTCTCTCTATATGGCTGGCTTTGAGGTAACTATTAAAGCTTTATTAACTGGATATTGACCTAAGATGTATAGCCGATGTGCCTGACTCCTATCTGTGGGTGTGTGTGTGTGTGTGTGTGTGTGTGTGTGTGTAGGTGTGGGATGTCACCATGCAGGACCTGTGCTCTGGCTCCATAACTCTGGAGTCTTTCAAAACAGTCGTGTTTGTTGGTGGATTCAGCTATGCAGACGTTCTGGGATCAGCTAAAGGCAAATAAACATACACACACACACTCTTAGGCTGCTTTGGTATTTTTTACTGTAACAGCATTCATCCTTCATAATAGGTTGGGCTGCTACAGTTGCATATAACCCCAAGGCCAAGGCAGAGTTCGACCGCTTCCGACGGCGGGATGACACACTGAGTCTGGGTGTGTGTAATGGGTGCCAGCTGCTCGCCCTGCTGGGCTGGGTGGGAGAGGGCAAGGATGGAGCAGGTAAGAGATAAAGGCACAGAAAGCCATGGAAACGTTGCCATAAAAGGAAAAAACATCCTGTTGAATTGAAATAAATGTAGTCGTCACAGAGGAGAGCTTTTGCAACCATCACTGACTTTAAAATGCTTTTCCAATTCTTCACCAGACACTGAAGTGGTGCTGACCCATAATAAGTCTGGCAGGTTTGAGTCTCGCTTCGTCAGCGTTGGGATCAAGGAGTCCCCGTCCGTCTGGCTCAGAGGCATGGAAGGCTCAGCCCTGGGAGTGTGGGTTGCACATGGAGAAGGTAGTAGTCATTAACTTATCACACACGTTTGCAAAACCGGAACATGTAGTTTTCTGTTCTAAGTTGTTCCAAAACATTAGGTTCTTCAGGACAAGAATGCAGTATTGAATCATAACTGAGCATAAAAAGGTTACTGAAGTGTAAAATGTTTAAACGTGCACATCGACAACTCATTCTGCTGACTCATAAGTCCCAGGTCAGCATTTTCTGTAATCGGCAGCTGTGTTTGATATTGATTTTCCCGCAACCTCTTTCCTTGGCAGGGCTGATGCAATTCCGTAGCTCCCCGGCCCAGGACCAGATTATTTCTGGTGGGCTCGCCCCCCTCCATTACCTTGACGACCAGGGTCAACCCACTGAAGAGTACCCTCTGAACCCTAACGGCTCCCCACATGGTATAGCAGGGCTCTGCTCCAAGGACGGGAGACACCTGGCCATGATGCCCCACCCGGAGCGCTGCACCCTGGGCTGGCAGTGGCCCTGGGCTCCAAGGGACTTCAGAGCTTCTCTTACACCTTCCCCCTGGCTACGCATGTTCAAGAACGCAGCTGCCTGGTGCAGCAACATGGAGTGAGAATACTGTTTACGTTTCTGTTGCTGTCAAAGTAGCATTATTGTCTTTGTTGGGTTGTGTGTAAACTGAAACTGTAATGCCAATGTTTAAATTACTTAACAGGTAATTCACCTTTTTGCTTCCCTCGGTACATGGACTTTGCATTATTACTGACTCCTGCTGTAATACTTTATAACTTTGAGACTGTTGTGGATTCTTGTTGACTTTGTATACATTCTGTAGGTTTCACTCTGGCAATCACTGTATGTTTTACAAAACTGTTCTGTGTCAATCAGATCTGCTGACATTGCCTTTGTTGCTCTGCTGAAACTTGAAAAATGAAATTTGCTAATAAATAAAATAATAAATCAAGATTCAAGTGTTTTGTGTCATATCATATAATAAAGAAATTCCACAAAATACAATAAATATTCTTTATTTTACACATAAAAACATGAATTCATACAATATGTATTGTAAGTATTTACATAAATGTCAGTATTACAGTACTGACATGACAGATTTTCTTGAGCTTGCTGCAACAAAGCTGCCCAATTAGAGGAGTAAAAATGACAGTGGCCAGTTTTTCTGGGTAAAACCGTAAGAAAATATGGAGTATAATTAAAATATGAATGATGAAATTACAATTTAAATTGTTGATTTGAAGGAAATTATGTCAAACACTGAAGATTTTGCCTATTTAATATGGATTAAAGAGCTTCCAACCAGACACTTTAGGCCTTAGGAATGTAAGGATTTGTGATCACAGTTGAACTAGCACACTGCTTGACATTGTATTTTAGATATCACTCTTGCATAGGCTCTGTAAACACTTGACAAACAGGCCTGGAGTCCGGAGTCCACAGTCCGAGGGGCTCAGACGCCGTCTTAACATCTCCACTGTTGCATGCTGTGCTGTTGTCAATATTCTTGCATACACTAATCCAACTAGCTACAGCCAGAAGGAAGAAATCCAATGAAAGTCCATGTCAAACAGCTTGTACTGACACTCTCGTCTACAGTGAACTCCCCATTACTCCTTGTGAGGTTGTAGCATTTGCAGAGTGCCCCCCTCTCTCTGGTGCCATTTGCTGGTTGATGTTGATAACACAGATAAGGAGCAGGATGACCACAACTAGATCATCCAGGACCCCCAGCAGTCCACAGAGGGAGGGGTCTGTTTCTAGGGGATTTGCTGATGAGGAGACGGGCTCCAGAGGAGGGTAGGAGATGGACACGACGGTCCCCACGCAGCACAGCGCCACCCTGAAGAAAAACAGCCACACAAGTCCTCCCATGGTGCCCAGGCCTCGGGCCAGTAACTGCAGGAGAAGAGGCGCGTCACACAGGTAGTCTGTTACCTGGACCGGTCAGGGTGCAGAAGAGAAAACAGGTCAGAGATTCATTCTGTTTCAAAGAAAAGGAAATGCTCACGCAAGGTAGGGCAACAAGGTGTGTCAATGTGAGGTGTGTTAACTAGACACCTCCATTGTTGTGTGGTTGTATAGGAAAATAAATCCTTGAGGTTGCATAAGTGGTATTCCTGTTACCAAACCTATTATCAGAGGGAACGGTGGAGGTATTCTCATCTTTCTTATGATCTAATCTGATGTTCCATTCAAGGCTTTCACACAACCAGACACAGGGAAAGGGTGGAGAATATGGAAAACTACTGTGGAAAGACTTATAGTGTCTAATAAGAGACTACTTTCAGTTAAGGATGTGTGTGATGTTATGTCTGAAGGTTCGATAGAATACTGACCCTTCGTGGGGCTCCAGAGTAACGTTTGTTGTAGTCTGTGATTTCCTCGAGAACTTCCTTTGACTGGCGGTCTGTTCGACTCTCGTTAAATAGATTACACAGCACGCTGACCTGGAAAAGCAAAACATTTTCATTCCATGTTCACACTATTCTGAGCAGACTGTTTAGACTGTGCTTGCATCTGATCATGCATACTGTACCTTCTGTCTGCAGAGAGGGCAGCTGATTGCGTCCAACCAGGACCCGTGTCTCCAGTAGGCGATCAAACAGGGAGCTGCAGAATCAGAACACATATTTCAACACTTTTTCATCAAACATTCAACAGTGTGCATCATAATGCCTCTCTATGCTGCCATCAAATATTTTAGAGAATAGAATAGAATGCCTTTATTGTCACTATACACATGTACAATGAGAGTCATTCCCGCTAGACTGTGATGAAACTCTGTCGCAGACATGACAAGCATACAATGAAGTATTTTTTCACGGTTAATGATAACAGACAGAGGTGTTTGGGGGGTCAAGGGTTGAAAAGGCTCTGGGTATAAAAGGCCGGAGTAAGACACAGCAGGTAAGTGGGGCAGGTACAGTGGTTAGAAGTCTACAGTCTGTTAAGGTAAAGGTGACAGCAGGTGTGTGCTGGAATAGAAATATTTAATCTGTGACAGATAATATCAAGGTTAAAGAAGCCTCTCGGGTCAACTGGTACTGCTCTCCTTATCGTACCGTACCGAGGGTCAGTTATAAAGTCTGGTAAAGTTGCCTTTAGATGCTATTGCTCTAGGTGCCAGAGCAGCCTTAAGGTATGTTATTTTTTTTAGCTGTTCTCCCGGAATGATTGCTTTATCTTAGAAATCAAATACTTCATTTATATTTTAAAAGTACTTTATTCTTGTGTGATTTTTGTGTGATTTGTATATTTTTTTGTATATTTGATGCATCAATGCACTAAGACAAATTCCTCGTATGTGTAAAAAAAACCTACCTGGCAATAAACCTAATTCTGTTTATGATTATGAGGAATTATTATAAGAAGCACACCTTTGAGTAACCGCAATGTCTACTGAGTTTCAAATGATTCAAAGCTAATCAAAACCTTACAGCTAGGCCAATACTTTGTTGACGATGGTAGTAGCAGCAAGATTGGACTATCTAAAAAGTTTTATCTAACTCAGTCCAATATGATGATGATATAAATCAATCAGATGTCCATCTGTGAATTTTAACTTTTTGAAGGGTCACCTCTGCACATCTGTGAACAACTAATTGACTGTTTGTTTTTTGTTTGACTCACTAAATCTATCTTATATAACCGTACACATTTGAGAAGAATAATGTAAGTAAAGCTGTCAGGTGAGAGGCAGAGTTGGAAAAACCATGGCAACAGTTAATTATTGAAAGCCGAACAGACAGGCCTCAAGGCTCAAGACGCACGGCTGCAGCGCACTCATGCTACACTGACCAGACAATGAATCATCATCAATAAAACTTGTTTGCTCTGATGTTTTTATAGAGTCAGAAGTCAGTTTGTGTGTTTGGCTGTGTGTGTGTGTGTGTGTGTGTTGAGTCTCGTACCACAGAACAAATGGCCACAGTTGGTCTGGACTGGGAAGCTGGCCGTCTGCAGGCAGACTGGACAGTGCCAGTCTCGGCTTGAGGATGGCCATGGCTGTGTAGAGAGAGATGAGACGTAAAAAACAGGAAAAATGAAATATAAAACAGAAGGATGAGGAATAAAGTATGAAGCAGAGAAATGGCTGATAAATCTAACAAATATCAATCAATATTTCTTTAAAAGAAATTGATGACCCCACATAACAGACATTATAATAGATACACAGTACATGTTCCGAGATTATAGATGTAAACAGTGAGATCATTATCATATTTTTGGCAGTAAATCTCTCCACCAGACTGTGACCCTAATAAACCCAATAATAATCGTCACACAGGAGTGCATTACAGTGATAATACTGTTTACTGCATTTGTGTTTGTCCTGGCATTACTGTTTGTTGAAAATCTGGCTCTCTTTTTGAAGAAATATCATCAATTCAGGACTGAAAAACCTGCAAAACCTCAGCTTCATTATCTGTGTTGACTGTCTGTGTGTGAGTGAAACCCCTTACCTTGTGGCAGCTTGTATATGTTGATGCCGACTGCTCGGGTGTGCACGCCAGACATTTGGATGACCCGAGGTGACCGTGACACACTGGACCTTCAGAGGGGAGACGGTCCAGTCTACAAAGTGACACAACGTGGCAACGTTGATAAACACGCCTTAAATACCACATAGTATCTGCCATGTAGGAGATACTGACACAAAACGATTTATAAGATAAGGTTTGATTGTACTCGCCACTTTTCTATTTGTGGATGACAGATGTTGATGCTCTGACTACAGCCGTTTGACAGATTAGCTGCTGCCATCTAAGTGATGTTGCATCTACAAGGACTTTAGGAAAGTCATTTGACTAAGTGATTTTAAGCTTATCCTGCATTTATTTAAATAAAAAAAAAAAGTAAAATAAAATCATCACATTTATGAAATGAAGTCAGTTGCTGAAATAGATCATTAACACTTAAGAAAAAAGGCTTTGGTGTGAAACATGTTTAGCTTCATGTTTTGTGGAGATTTTTTAATTAGACATGTCATATTACACAAGTGTAGTGGATTACTTTCAGATCAGGTGGAGCGAGCCTGGATGAGGTCAGATCAAAACACACTCTTCCCCATAAACCCCAAAAACCTAAATTATCTTTGAGTACAGTTACAGCGCACAGCCCCACTTGTGTTTTAAGAAGGCAAACACAAACCTATCAATACTACCAAACTGAACAAAATGAGACTCACCTCGACTGAGAGCTGTGGTAGCGGTGCATAGCTGAGCTAGAAACAGCAGCTGACAGGTAGTCACTGTCTCCCAGAAGGAAGTGAAGTGCTGCCTGACAGCATCACTGTTCAACATAAAGTGGAGCTGCATGTTAATGATCAACTACACCCTCCAATATCAGCTGGTGTCTGAGGCTTCCTGCTTATGGGTAGCAGTAATGCTGTCAGATCAATAAAGCAGTGGTCTGTGCACAGCCGTACTACTCCAAAGAACATATGATGAAACATTACAATAGACCTTAAGGGGAAAAGTATTCATATAATTACATCTAAAAAGCCACCCACCCCAGATTCAGTCTGGTCAGAAGGAAAGTATTTGGGTCACATGACTTTCCACCAGATCAAAGCCAGAAAAAATCCCTCCCACGCTGTGTGTAAGTAGGCTAGATCCAACCTCACCAATCATTTACCCAAAGTTTACTCTGCCGATAGCCCTGCCTCAAATAATTCCACTTTTACCATAAACCCCTTGTTGTGAAATGCACGTGAACGCCACTGACAGTAACACCACGAGTTGTAAAGAGGCACCTCGGCTGAAGATAATCAACCCAGCAACAGAAAGGAGGCCACACGTCTTCTCAGGCTCTTTTAAGATGACTATAAAGCAAAAGTGTTGGCCAAATGCAGCAATAAAGCAAAAACAAATTCTCTCTCTTACAGTATCTGGCAATGAGTGAAGATATGGTAATCTTCACATACTTCACCATGGCAGCCATTGCAGAAATATCCTGGCAAATATTTGCATAGGCCCTTCACCTCAGATAGGAGCTGAAAAGAGGGAGTTAGAGGGGTTCAGGTCATTTAAAAATAGCAGCCATCAGTCAGTGAAGGTCAGGGTTTCAGAGTGACAGAGATCAGGAGATAAAACAGAGGCGCTCACCTACTGACAGTAAAACACAGGACAGAGGACGCTCCTGCAGGCCACACGGGTAAAGTCCAGTCTCGGGGTCATACACACACTGATTTTACTATGCTCAATGGTCACCCTAGAGAGTGATGTAAGAATGCCTTGTGTTAACCAAATTCAAATGAAATATGTAATAAGGCCACAAGTGCACATGTAATTTTCCATATTGTGGCTCAGAGAGCAGGTGATACATGTGACATTTGTTATCTTGGATTAGAAGTGAGTATTGGTAACACAATTACACACACCCTCACGTGAGTTACAAATACACATAACGTGAGGAGGTTTATTGTATTCATGAGAAATGATTTACCGATGCTGCCAGGCTTTTAGTGGCTGTCTGAAAGCAGGCTGACTTTATATTTTCTAGTTAATATAGCCCAAAAAACAGGGATAAAAGGGATTAACATTTCATTGGTATTCAGTTTCCAACTCCAAGAAACCTGTAAAACTGGCTGTGCAGGATCATCTCTCAGTTGGCTATAGACGGGGTCAACCACGTCTGTCACGTAGTCAAACATGAAACAAACTGCAATTAAGATTTCATGTTGGTTGAGCAACTGCTATTACCTGTGTTGTTGGCATATGACAGAATGAGGACAAACAAAGAAAACAAATTTGTGTTTTAGGCAAAAGCTTACTCTGAGAAAAACACATTTTCTTAAAATAGTTTATTTGATATTTGTATAAATGTATGTTTGGGGATTTTGAAGTTCTTTTCTATTTTATTTTTTATTTTTGCAAAGCTTAGTAGCTTTTCCACCTTTATTCATATGGTTTTGGTTGTTACATGAACCTGACTGCAATATCTTTTCCTATTGTCTGCAATTCTATGTGGCTTCATGTGGACTAGTATGTTGAGTTTTATCCAATGCAGCCACACACGTAAAGATCTTAGAAGCTAAGATGTTGTAATACAGTATGTTTATAATAACTTCATCAACTGAATGCAGGAAGACAATGTCACAATTGTATTGAGCTGTTTGTACAGTATTGACAGCAGATTGAGTACTAAACATACCAAAATAGTCTTTATTTCATAATATAATACTAATATAACTGTGTTCATTTTCTCAACCAGACTTATCCATCAATAATGAGAGAAGGGAGCAAATTTAATAATAAAACATTTGATTTTGGGAGGCGTATGTAAATCGAAGATCACGCCCACTGATTGGCTGCAGCGCGGATTAACACCCGTCAATCTCCGCAGAGCTCAACACTGATTGGATGACGTTTGTATTCCCCGCCCCCTCCTCGCTTCACCTCAGCCCCGAGCCTGCGAGCAAGTAAACGTCAAAGAACTAAGGAGCTGCGCCATTCGCGTACGTCTTACGTTGTTTTCATGGCGGAGCCGCAGTCGTGGCCGCTCACTGTATGTATTTATCGTTAGAGATTTACCTCTTGGCAGCAGGTGAGGTCAAATGCAGAGGGAAGGAGCGGAAGAGCTTTGCTGACAGGTAGAAAAACATTTTAGCTTTAAGCTAAAAAGGAACAAATGGACGAGTATAAAACGGCACTGACCGAGAGCCTCATCATATGGGTGAGTTTTGGGTTTTTTTCGCGTAGCGTTGTGTGAATGTGTCGCCGGATACAAGGAAATTATGAAGCGTTTTCGCTTACCTGTTTGTAGTGTTGGGGGTGTCCGCGAAAAACACTCTTTAACTACCAGCGGAGAGAAAATGAGAGTTAGCCAGTTCAACAGCAGCCTCGTTGTTATTAGCTTCAGTTGCAGCTGTTTAATATTAATTAATTAATTAATTAAATATCCCCTCTGTCCACCGGTACGACATGTAACGCGAGCTAGGTGAGGAGCTGGCACTGCAGGCTAATACATATAAAGTTAACACTACAGCACTACAGTATCCTTCAGTGTAGTCCACCCTCGCCAGGTTTAGACGGCTAATCCCTTTAACCAGGATATATTTGTGGAATGTCGCTTTAATGTTGTTCACATTATGTAACTGATTAAATGAAGCTAACACGAGCAACAGTTAATACCTTTATTTACCTGAGACACACAGCTAACGTTAGCGAGCGTTGCTTGCTGCACCTGTTCTTGTGCGGAGGTGTTAGTGCAGTGTGTGTCTGCTACCTTGAGTCAGTAGTAGGCTCTAAATCCTGGGGCTGTATCTAAGCCACATCCATTACCTTGTTGAACAACAGTATCACTAGGTAAGAGCTTAGATGAAGCTTAGCAGGCCAAAAAACATTTGTGTCCAATTATGAGAATAAAAAGTTACCATGTGAAGTCAGATGTGGTGGAAGGGTTAAAGTAGGTAAAGAAAATGTCATACTATGTAAAAATACTACAGTAAAGGTCCTGCATTTAAAATATTACAGCTACTACTACTACTACTACTACTAAACATTGGCATCAAAATATATACAAACATTACATCAGTGGATCATTATCCATATGGCTGCAGTTTGTTTAATACAAGTTAAATGTGTGACAGAACAGCATTATAATGACTGTAGGTTTGTAGAGATGTCCTGGCCTACATGTTTGTTTGGTACAGACCGCAAACAATTATCCTAATTTTAATAGTTGTTTTTTTTTCCAGTGAAAATGAAATGTGTGACACAAAAATGATCATTCCCACCATCGTGAATAATATTGCAATCGCCTTATCTGTCAAAATAATCCCCTTTTTGTTTTTACCATATCGCGCAGCCCCAATCCTTTTGAGTGAAGCATCACTAATGTTACAGCCAGTGAAGGTGGAGCCATTTTCAGCTACTCTATATACAGCAGGGTAGCTTCATCTATAACAGTATCATAATTACTTTGTTTATTTATATGTTGTATCTGCAAAGTAACTAAAGCTGTCATATAAATGTAGTGGAGTGGAAGTGCAAAGAGGCGTACAATGAAAATACCAAAGTAGTAAATCTACTGAGGCGCAGTACTTGAGGAGATGTACTTAGTTACCACTGGAAGTCAGTCTCATAACTTTAAGTCAGTCCCTCCAAACAGTGGACTTACTTTTAATACCAGCTGCCAGTACCAGTCAGTGTTTTTTTTTTTTAAATGGTGGTTCTCTCATTTTGGACTAAAACCTCAAACCCAGTAGCCTTTAGACAGGTTTGATAATCACTATAAACAGCAGGATGTGTGTACAGAGGAAAAGGATGTTAGCGCAGGAGAGTTCACCTTACACCATGGATTGGCCACTACTTGAAATATTCATATCCTCACTTAGGTTAAGCAGGGAAACCTTCGTCTGTGCCTGGCTGTTGTGGTGTATTTGTCCCTGTCCTCTACTATCTCCTCTCTTTGCGACTTATTCTTTCCCTTATAGCAGGATGCAGGTGCACAGCTCCCTCAGCACATCACACCTGCAGTGTTTTAGAGAAACTCTTTAGTGATTGCTAGGTTGGTGCAGCTTCTGAATATCGTCACCCCTTAACCATGTTTTATTCCTTTCACTCTCCTTGGGTTGCATTATGATGATGCTCTCAGCTGCAGACCTTCAACACTCCTGCACCCTGCAGAGTGGTGGAGGAACTGACCACTGGAGTGGCAATATCACAGGCACTGCATCAAATGTGAGAGCGCACACACACACACACACACACACAGCCACAGGAATACAACATATAGGGTGACTAGATATGCCCCATTAAGCATGACGTCTGCCTACTCTGCATCATTTATTTACAGTCTGGTTTGGCTCAAATAATTAAATAAATAAAAACAATTTTTCTACTTTACTGTTACTCTCCAATTACACGTTCAACCCACAGCTGAATGAAAGAACACTCCTGCTTTCTATGGATTATCTTAACATATTTCCAGGTGCTGTAGGAAATAACTACCTTAAGAAAAAGAAGGTTGAGAGACAGTAAACGGCAACATTTAATATTATCTAGATGAATTTGACCTTGAATGGCATGTGGAAATCATGTGCCGTTAAACTTGTGCCTCTCTGTGTCTGATTATTGTGTGCAGAGACCCAGCTTGGTTCACTGATGGATGGCTTGGTCGTATCAAAACAGATGTTGAAGATAACTGGAGACTGAAGGTACAGAGCAGTGCTGTCTTCCCCATCCCCCTCTGTCCTCTCTGACTTCACTCTTCATAATTTGCTTC